CTAAAAATATGGATACCCTACTGTAAAGCTTGCCTTATCTTGTAAAAATTAATATTTAATTATGAAAACAAATCTTAATTTATTACTTTATGTAATGAATAAATATGTGAATATCCATTATGTGATGACCTAAGAAGTGGAGACCAAGTCAAATAGCCCAATAAACAAGATACAAAAAAATTGTAATATGATTTGAACTCTTAAGTAGAATTAAATTAAGATTATGATTCAAGAGATTGTTGGCCTGTAAATAAGTCTTTCACTTCATTTGTAAATACACACTTGAATAAAATTTCTTACTCCTCTAAATACTTTACTCCCTTTAAATATTAATTATTTTATTACGATTTATTTCATAACACATTATCCGCATTATCATCTGATCTCTCAAGTTTTAAAATCATTTTGTTTTCATCATCTTTAAGTTTCAAAAGGATTTCAGTGATTAGGTTTTGACCTCTGATTTTAGCAATCAGAAAGTATTGGTATTATTTTATTTTCATTATCTCCAAGCTTCAAAAGGATTTTAATATTTGGTTTTTAATTTCTAGATTTTAATGGTTGATTTTTAATTTATGATTGTAACAAATCAGGTAAGTCCTTTTATTGAAAAAAATGAATTTGCTATTATATAGCTATTATGAAAAATCATGAATATTCATTCCTTGAAGAAGTGAATACGACAAATTTGCCACTAATAAAAAATAAGAAGTCCATCCATTCCTTAAAGTGAATACAACATCATTTATTTAATAATTATGGTTATAGTCATGAATTTAACTATTCCTTGAAATAAATGCAATATCATTTAATAATTATGATCATGGACATGAAAAAAGCCGTCATAATAATTTACACTATCACTATTTTAATTTTAAGAATAATTTTACCACGAGAAGTGGATGGATAATTTTGTCATCAGAAGTGGACGAATAATTTTGTCACCAGAAGTGGATGGATACCTTAACCCACCAACCCACGAAAAATGGATAATCCATCAAAAGTAAATGAATATTTGTAACTCACCAAAAGTGATTGAATACTTTTAACCCACCAAAAATAGATAAATAATAAAAAGATAAAAATAAAAAAAATTAAAAAGAATATGAAAAATACATTGTCATTAATGTGGCATGAAAGACCATTGGTCACGTATTTGTTGTACGTCTTAAATTTTATCAAATGTCACTGAAAATTAAAATATATTATGATAATTTTAACCATAATCAAGTTGATGTGTTGTTGATTTTCATATCTACCCTAAAAAAAATTGATCATATGATTGGTAATGAAAATGTTTGTTGTTAATTTTCTTGTCCACCTTAAAAAATGAATTGATTATTTGATTGATAATAAAAATATCTGAGAATGAACTTAATAGTAATTGGTATATTTTAGTATAACTATATTGTGATGATGCTTTAATAAGTTCTTATTATATTTAAATGATATGTTCTTATTATTTGTTTTAATTATATATTTAATGTTAACTTGTAAATTTTTTATTGTATATATCTTATTTTATTAAAAAAAATATGGATATTCATATTGTTGGACTCAAGATCTATGATGTAAATATATGTCTAGCAGACATTGCTACAATACACATTATATATAAAGACAAGAAATATTTTTTTCCCTTGACAATGAAAAGAACCAATGTTAATATCTAGTAGTACAAAATTAATTTACGACTCTAGAAGAGTTAATATTTTATTACCTTGAGGAATAAAGTTTATAATAGATGATGTATTATTTTCTTTTAAGTCTTCAAGAAGTTTATTAAGTTTTAAAGATATTTACTCGAATAAATATCATATTGAAACAATGAATGAAAGAGACACTTAATATCTCTATATTATATCTATTATCTCATGTAGGGTGTGTATGTTGAAAAAAAAAATTACTCACTTTGTTCTTTGGATTAAACTATATAAATATTAAATTAATTGAAACTTACAGTAAACTAGTAGTTTACTAATGATTTTAATGTTAGCATGACCAGTTGGACCATCCTGGATTAATAATGATATAAAAAATTATTAAAAATTATTTGATTAAATTAAATAAATTTTCATATAGATTAAAGTAATTGGGCGTATGTAGTATAATTGCCTTAGTATATATTTATTAAAAAAATATAATAAAAATGATACTATATGCCCATGTGTTTTTATAAGAAGATTCAAATATGAATTTGTGATAATTACTGTTTATATTGATAAACTAAACATTATTAGAACTTTGAAGAGTTATCAAAAACAGTGGATTCCTTCAAGAGAGAATTTAAGATGAAAGATCTTGAAAAAACAAAGTTTTGTTTGAGTCTTTGGATTGAATACTTGATAAATAAAATTTTTAGTCATCAATCTAATTATATAGCAAAAGTGTTAAATGATTTTATATGAGCAAAACACATCTATGGAGTTTATCAATGGTTGTAAGGTCACTATATATGAAAAAAAAAAATCATTTCCAACCTTGTGAGGATAATGAAGAACATTTTGGTCTTGAAGTACTATATGTTATTGCAATTAGAGTACTGATGTATCTTGCTAGCAATACATAACTTGATATATCATTTGCTGTAAATTTATTAGTAAGATATAGTTCTTATCCCACTCTAAAATATTGGAATAAAATTAAACATATATTTCGATATCTCCGATGACTAATGGATATGGACTTGTATTATTCAAATGCATTAAAATCAGATGTAATTGATTATAAAGATACAGGATATTTATCTGATCTACATAAAGCTCGATCCTAGACAAGTTACTTGTTCACATATGGAAGTACAGTTATTTCATGACGTTCTATAAAACAAACTATAATTGTTAATTTTTCTAACCATATAGAGATTTTAACAATTTATGATGTAAGTCATGAATGTGTTTGATTAAGATCTGTAACTCAACATGTTCGTGAAACGTGTAACTTGTCAACTAAGAAAAAAATTCCAATAACATAATACGAGGTGGGAAAGAAATTTTGTTTGTATAACACAGTTAAAGGAAGGATACATTAAGATTACGTTTGGTTAGTGGAATAGACAGGAATGAAATAGAATAATTATTTTATGGGAATAGAATAGTTATTACTTAGTTTAGTACTACGAATGAAATAGGACAAGAATAGTTATTATGATTTATTACAGTATTTGGTTGGTAACAATAACTTTGGAATAAGAAAGGAATAAAAAATAAAAAGATAAAAACATCTTTTATTATTTATATGATTATTTATTTTTGTTAATTTTTTAAATATTAATAATCTAGAATT